TGGCCAGACTGCATGCATGCATACAACACCCGCACGCACGCACACACGCACGCACGCACGTACGCACTCACGCACGCATGCGCGCACGCACACACGCACTCACGCACTCACTTCCACACATGCTATTTGGACGCTGTTCTTGTGGCACGGCAAATGGGGACAATCACGTCCCGTTGTCAAATACGTGGGAAGATATCGAGTGAAGCCTTGATATTGGAGCCGATAGGCCGATTTCACTCGACATAACGATGTTTGCGTGCTGCGAAGCGTAATAAAACGCTGACAGGCGACACGGACGTGCCCGCCCGGCTCGAACAACACGGTGGCGCCGATCGATTCTTGCCGGCGGTTTTTGCGCAGTGGCTGGCGCCAGGGCGGCGCGCGGAGTCGTGGGAGAGTGAGGGCGGTCCACCAGTCATCCCGGCAGCAAATCTAATTGGCGGCCGGGCTGTCCTCGACGTCGGCCGAAGAGGCCCGAAGAGGCCCCGGCGGCGGGTTGGCGACGCGCGGCCTGCCGGCGGCCGAGTCAGGCGGCGGCGCGCTTTGTCGCCGCCGGGCCGTATTTGTTCTGCGCGCTTGTGCTCATGCGCTAACGTCCATCTGGCCCGGCGAAGGCGAGAGGTTTTCGGGCGGGCGGTGTTTGCTCGCAGCCGGGAGTTGTTCAGGGTTTGTCGGCCCTCGCGTCGTGCTGGGGGCAACGCTAGAGGTTGGCCGCCCACTTCCACGCCATGTGCGCAGAAGAGCCGCGTCGGAAGTCGGTGCCCGTGCGCCTGAGCTTGTAGCATGTATGCATGCATGCATCGGCATTTACAACAACTCTACACCAAATGGATATTCTAAGGTCGAGTCAGCACGGGTAAGGGTGATGAAACATGAGGAACAAAGCGGGCTCTTGTAGAAAACAAAGACACGGGAATGCATCAAAGACACATGCATGCACGCGCGAACGCACGCACGCACGCACACACGCATGCACGCACGTACACGCACATTCATCAAGTTCCAGCTAAATGATTGCACAGTTCACGCGAGCGACAAAGTATGGAGTCCGGAGATAAAGCCTTGTGAAGTTGCACGACACTGTGCAGAAGGCGCTGCTTAACCGCCTCCGTCCTCACGCATGCGATCGCGATGCTCTGAGGTCGCGACGTGCACTGATGTTGCGCCATCGTCTCAGTCCCTGCTAATGTTGCGCCACCGTCTCAGTCCTGCAATGTTGCGCCATCGTCTCAGTCCCTGCTAATGTTGCGCCACCGTCTCAGGTCCCTGCTCGTCTCCACTGCTGGCCTTGCTACAATCAGTTACGCCCAACCTTCTGCTCATGATTGTCTTTGCTGTGCCGTATTGCTGTACCTTTTGAAGATGATCTCTCGGCAGCTTTTGTCCAAGAGAGGCAGGAACCATTTTTTTGTACGTCTTTGATGCGCAGCATTTTAACAAACGCAAGGCGCCCGCGGCCAAACGAACCAGTGCCAGATACATTCAACAAAGTGCTCTTCTGTGTATGCATGCACACCTGCGGGTTCGTATCGGCCAAATGATAGATTTATCGATCGCCACATGCATTTATGATGCAAGTAGTTGGCGCCGTTGAATGTTCCAGCCAATTGATCGCCACATGCATCTATGATGCATGTTTAGGCGTCGTTGAATGTTCCAGCCGATTTACTTCTTCCGGTGTGTAGTCTGGTGTCAAGTGTGTGGTCTGCTGTCCAGTGTGTTGTCTGGTGTCCGATGTGTTGTCTGATGTCCGGGTGTGTGGTCTGGTGTCCGGTGTATGTTCTGGTGTCCGATGTGTGGTCTGGTGTCCGGTGTGTGGTCTGGTGTCCGGTGTATGTTCTGGTGTCCGGCGTGTGCTCTGTTGGCCGATCCCGGTGTCTCAGTGCTTTGCACGGTCGTCGGCGCGTGTCCGGCCACCTGTCGTACCACGGCCGAGGTGTCGGTGATAGGTCACGGGAGGCGTGCCGTCCCCCGCCTGTCGACCCAACTCAGTCTCTGATAAGTGGTGTAGCGAGGCACGGACGACCGACCGCTCAGCACACAGAGCGAGGAGGTGACAACCGACCCGCTCAGCACACAGAGCGAGGCGGTGACAACCGACCGCCCAGCACACAGAGCGAGGCGCAGACGACCGACCGCTCAGCACACAGAGGGAGGCGCGGACACCTGCGGCGCGTCTGCGTCCTCGACCTCGCTTATACTTCCGGCTGGGCCGAGTCGCGCGATGTCGTGGGAGAGGGCCGACAGAGACTCAGACTTATTGAGGATCGCCGGAGCTATGGGGACATCTGTCGCTGCCGGAAGGCGGCTCGTTTCCATCCGGGCCCAAGGTGGAGCTAACTCAACTCCTGTTGCGTCAGTCAGCGCACCCTCGAACGAGGCGACACTTCTCTCAGCGGCCGGCGAGTCGATGCCTTGACCGGCACCACTCGGTGGTGCGCAGCAGCCTGCGTGATTTCATTCCGGCCGCGACTGGGGACTCAATATTACAATCCGTTACCATGGCAATGGACTCGAGCCGCCTGCAAGCTCCGCTGAGTGTATCTACGGTTTCACAGACCGCTTGTATCAGGCGGAGGCTTATAGATTAGACTGATCCACCGTTGTTAGGCCTTGTACAAGAATGTACACCGTTTATAATATATACATATGCATATATATATATATATATATATATATATATATATATATATATATATATCCCACAATCCCGAAGAAACGAACCGCTTCGACCGAGCGACACATGACATTTTTTTATTAGGGCGGCTCAGCGTGTTGGTAGTTGTTGGATAGGCACTAGTGCCGGAACACACCGCACGTCTGTTCGGTTTGGATGGGATTGTTGCCTTCACCAAGGGTTACCATCGCGTGCCTCTGAATCCTGGCGGTTCTGTAAACGTCGTTACTCCGAGCGCCGCGATTTACGGCGGGGAGGAGGAGGCACAAAAGACCCGCCGCGGCCTGCCGATGAGATCTCATCCGCATCGTCCAGCAGATCCGAGCCGCGTGGCAGTCACGCTGACTGTTTCGAGTCTCGATGCTTTGGTTGCCGCCCCGGCGCTGTGGTTGTTGATCCGGTTCTATGTGGCTGTTGTTCCGGTCCTGTGCTTGCTGCTCCGGCTCTGTGGCTGCTGCTCCGGCGGCTTTAGTGACCGGCCTGTTCGTCCCCGGCCTCCCTTGAACGCAGCGGAGGCCGGCGTCACGCGCCCGCCCTTCCGACGCGCTGCATGATCGCTGCTTGCGTATAGCGTGGCTTGGGCGCCCTTTGGAGTGCGCCGCCGCACCACCCTCGCCCCATGGTCTGTTTGTTTATCCGGCGGCGCGTCGATGCGAATCGCCAGCATTTGAGCGACGACGAGGGACTTCCAGACGGGGCCCCCGCTGATGCCAGCCGCGCTGCGTTTCGTTTTCGCCGCCAGGTGGCGCTCAGGTCGCGGTCAGATGCGCTGCACGCTAGCATTATAGGCTGCAGGTTGAGTTTCTGGTCATGCAACGGGTTGCCCGTCGGTCAGTGACACTGGATGGTAGGCTCTGGTCACCGCCGCAGCCGGGCTTGGAGTCGGCCGCCAGCGGCCGCTGCGGCAGACGTGGGCTCGGCATAATCTCGACCCGTTGTACGTGACTGCAATCAAATCAAGGCGGACCGATGCGATACGATGCCTGAAGTTTTATGAGCGTGGTATCCCCGGCGAACAAGCATTAGGGACCGGCTCGCTGTTGTAGCGGATGCGATTACACGGATCTGATACTTAACTCCGGTAATTTGTGCCAGTGTTCTGTCAGTTTCGCGACCTATCCACCAGGCAGCGTATCCGCAAGCTTGCGGATTCCTCCGCGAACCACTGCCGGGCCAGCTGGGCGTTGGTGCCGCTCTCAAGCTGAACACCGCGGAGGTGCTGAAGTGTAAAATGGAATACCGTCCCGTGCCGCTGCAGTTCGACAGTGCAGCCACGCTTTTCGATGGCTTGTCTGGCCAGGACGACATTTCCGCTGAAGCTCCGCGGACCGCATGCCGTCGGTCCTGATGGTTTCTTCCTGCAAACTCAGTGGCGGCGGTCACGGAAGGCACGCAGGCCCATCCCCTGGAAAACCGTGGTGATAGATGCAATCTCTTTGGAAGACTCATTAATTCATGTCGTTCCGAGTAGACATACAACTGTGGGTTGTTCGTCCGTCAGGATTGGTTACACGATCGTCAGGTGACAATTCGTCCGGACCTGGCACACGACTGTCCGCTGATGATCCCTGACGAGTGGGCGTGCACCAGTCCGCCGCCAGCCTATATGGGTGGACATACGACCGTGCGCTGATGATCTCTGACGAGTGGGCGTGCACCAGTCCGCCGCCAGCCAATATGGGTGGACATACGACCGTGCGCTGATGATCCCTGGCGAGCGGGCGTGTGCCTGTCCGCCGCCAGCCAATATGGGTGGACATACGACCGTGCGCTGATGATCCCTGACGAGCGGGCGTGCACCTGTCCGCCGCCAGCCAATATGGGTGGACATACGACCGTGCGCTGATGATCCCTGACGAGTGGGCGCACACCTGTCCGCCGCCAGTCCGCACTGATGGACACACGACCGTCCGCCGATGATCCATGACGAGTGGGCCACTTCACTCGGCCGCTTTTCGGTAACATATGGTCGTTGCTGCTGCCGCTGTGGTGTGACGTACGGCAGGTCATGACCGGTGTCGTGACGTGGCACCGCTCCCTGACCTTTGTCGGCTTGCGGGCCACCCACACACGTCAAGGGACCACCTCAATATCGGCCACCACAAATCTTCGCCGAGACGTCGATTCCTCTGCCACATTACTGGATCACGCCGCACTGAAAGCCGGGGGGCCATAATGCATAGCAAACGCCTGGCGGGATACCAGTGCGAAGCGCACCGGCGGTTAGGCTCAGACGCCCACGCAGGCCGTTCCGGCCCACGCCAAGCCTGGCGCGGACGCCTGAGCCGACGTTCGGATGTCCCCGGAACTGCTGGCCAAAGCGATGGTCAACTACCGCTGGCTCAGCGGCCGGATACAGATCAGATCCGGTCACCGGGCTGGCAGCTGCGGCGGAGCGGACGACGACCGGCACCGGGCTGGCAGCTGCGGCGGAGCGGACGACGACCGGCCAGCTGGCAGCTGCGGCGGAGCGGACGACGACCGGCCACCGGGCTGGCAGCTGCGGCGGAGCGGACGACGACCGGCCACCGGGCTGGCAGCCGCGGCGGAGCAGGCGACGACCGGTCACCGGGCTGGCAGCTGCGGCGGAGCGGACGACGACCGGCCACCGGGCTGGCAGCCGCGGCGGAGCGGGCGACGACCGGCCACCGGGCTGGCAGCTGCGGCGGGGCGGACGACGACCGGCCAGCTGGCAGCTGTGGCGGAGCGGACGACGACCGGCCACCGGGGCCAGGGTTCTCCCAGTGCCTGTATGGACTGCGGGACCGTGCTCAAGTACTGATCATCCGTAACTCAAGCATCTTGGCAACCTAGTGCCGATTTAAAGCAGTGGCGTAGGGATGACGACTCATTGTCACTCAGGGATAGCGCCGTTTAGCGCGTGTGTGTGGCAGGGGCGTAAGTTCCAAACGAGTTGAGTGGGGAGAGGGTCTGAGCTGTGAAAAAGTGAAAAACGAGGTAGCCTGCCCCCACAGTACGGCAACAAACTGGTCACTACCCGGTTTTGGGAGCTGGAGTCTCATTCTCTCCCAACTGACTAGGAGATTACACCCGTGGCATGTTGTGCATTTGGTGTACGCAAGCTTATGCCGATACGATCGGACCTGTAGCGACAGTTGTCAAGGAGAATATGTTATCATGGGATCCACGGGAGGCTGCATCCATTAATTCGGGCTAGCGGATGCGCCGACCGCTGAATTCACGTTATGCTCAGGAAGCTGCACAACTCTGCTGTCTGCTCTATCGGTACCTCTTAGCTATTTGGTGATGGACAATAACCCTCGTCGATCTTGTATGCTTTGTGTATTATTATATTTGACCAAGTCGAATCAGAAACTGCGAGCACTGCCTTGTTACCAGCGTGTTATCTTGTCACATCGAAATGTAAATGTCTTAGGCATCACAGTACCTACTACGCTATAGGAGTGCGCAGCAATGCAGTCATTTCCGTTTTTACATGAGCTGGAGGCGACAGGGCACTGCGACCAATGAGTGCGGCGATAGTCAAGCCGAGCGATCGTGGTCGGGTCCTCCTAGTTTTGTTTGTTATGCTGTTCCACTTGGATTTTAACTGAAAGGCCCGGCAAGTGGGACATGTACAAGTGCTACGGACCTCGCTCTTACCGAGAAGTTTCAGCACGCATTGCTGTCGTTTTGTCACGGTGGTATTTGCCAGCCTTCCTCCACTCCGATGCGAGGGTCCCTTCCGGAAATGCAGACGATGTGAAGCGATGCCCTTCGTTAGTGATATGGCACTGCTCTTCATTCCGTTTTCGCACTGTTGACATTCCAACAATAGCCATCAACCTGACCCCTTGCCTTCACCCGGCCACATTTGACCCGTCTCCCTCGCCTTCACCTGGTCACATTTGACCCGTCTCACTCGCCTTCCACCTGGTCACATTTGACCCGTCTCCCTCGCCTTCACCTGGTCACATTTGACCCGTCTCCCTCGCCTTCACCTGGTCACATTGACCCGTCTCCCTCGCCTTCACCCGGTCACATTTGACCCGTCCCCTCGCCTTCACCTGGTCACATTTGACCCGTCTCCCTCGCCTTCACCTGGTCACATCTGACCCGTCTCCCTCGCCTTCACCCGATCACATTTGACCCGTCTCCCTCGCCTCCACCCGGTCACATTTGACCCGTCTTCCTTGCCTCCACCCGGTCACATTTGACCCGTCTCCCTCGCCCTCCACCCGGTCACATTGACCCGTCTCCCTCGCCTTCACCTGGTCACATTTGACCCGTCTCCCTCGCCTTCACCCGGTCACATTTGACCCGTCTCCCTCGCCTTCACCCCGGTCACATTTGACCCGTCTCCCTCGCCTCCACCCGGTCACATTTGACCCGTCTCTCTCGCCTTCGCCGGTCACATTTGACCCGTCTCCCTCGCCTTCACCCGGTCACATTCGACCCGCCTCCCTCGCCTTCACCCGGTCACATTTGACCCGTCTCCCTCGCCTTCACCCGGTCACATTTGACCCGTCTCCCTCGCCTTCACCCGGTCACATTTGACCCGTCTCCCTCGCCTTCACCCGGTCACATTTGACCCGTCTCCCTCGCTTTCACCCGGTCACATTTGACCCGTCTCCCTCGCCTTCACCCGGTCACATTTGACCCGTCTCCCTCGCCTTCACCTGGTCACATTTGACCCGTCTCCCTCGCCTTCGCCTGGACATGTTTGAACCAGCCTTCATCCGGTCACATTTGAAGGCGCTTCCCCCGCCTTCGCCCGGTCACATTTGGAACCGCTTCCCCCGCCTTCGCCCGGTCACATTTGAAGCCGCTTCCCCCGCCTTCGCCCGGTCACATTTGAAACCGCTTCCCCCGCCTTCGACCGGCCACATTTGACGTCTCTTTCGCCCGCAGGCTACGGCTTCGTGGACTTCGACACGGCGGACGCGGCGCAGAAGGCGGTGAAGCAGCTGGTGGCGAAGAACATCCAGGCGCAGATGGCGCGCCAGCAGGAGCAGGATCCGACCAACCTATACATCACCAACCTGCCGCTGACATACACGGAGCGCGAGCTGGAGGCGCTGCTGCAGCGGCACGGCACCGTCATCTCCACTCGCATCCTGCGCGACGACCGAGGCACCAGCCGCGGCGTCGGGTTCGCCAGGTCAGTAGCGGGGCCGGCTTTGCCTGACCAGGAGCGGAGGGGGTGGGATGGGCCTCTAGATCCGTGGTCTGTGCCAAGGCAGTGACATCATCACGGGTTCCTGCTGACTGCTGGGTCAGCGGTCAGCGGGGCTGTGGCGTTATATTTGCCAGGTCAGGGGGGGGGGGAAGGATCGGTCGGGCTCGCCACGCCATTGTCCGAGGAGCGCCAGCCGCAACGGTTTCATCCGGTCAAATAAAAAGCAGAAAACAGGGGTGAGCCGAGCTAAGGTCAGCGATAGTCAACGCCGCTCCGCCGCTCTCTGAGCGTATCCGGCTCTGGCGAGGCAGAGACGGTGTTGTGCTGCGCTCCCGCCCGAGTGGCGGCGACCGTTCCGCGCCACGAAGCCCCGCCGCCGCGCGGCGCTAGCGGCAGGTTGGCCAACCGCCCTTCCACCGCCAGGATGGACATGCCAGAGACCTGCCAGAAGATAATCAAGACGCTGAACGGCCACACGCTGGAGAGCCACAGCGCCAAGCTGGCCGTCAAGTTCGCCGACGGCAACAAGAAGCGTCAGCAGCAAAAGGGCCAGGAGGCGCGCTGGCGGCAGCAGGAGGCGGCGCCGCGGCTGCCGGGCTACGAGACGGCCGGCGCGCTGGCTGGCCTGCCCGCCCGTTACCCGGTGCCGCTGCCCTACCTGTCCGCGCCGGCCTGGCCGCAGCCGCCGCTGCTGTACGGCGCGCCGCTGCCGCCGCAGCTGGACCTCGAGACCTACAGCCTGCTGCAGGGCATGCAGCAGCTGCAGCTGAGCGGTGCGCCGACGTCCGGCGGCGGCGGCGGCGGCGCCCCGTATGGCGCGCCGCCGCAGTACCAGCCGGCCTACCCGGCGGCCGCGTACCATGCCCTCAGCGGCATGGCGCCCTTCTACCAGCACCACCTGATGCACGGCGCCCCGGTCGGCGCCGACGCCGGCGGTGCTGACGACTGAGCGGCCGTGCGCCGGGTTAGGTGAGCCGTCACACGACGGGCTGGGTGAGCTGTCACGGAGGGCTGGGTGGGCTGTCACACGAAGGGCTAGGTGAGCTGTCACACGACGGCATGGGTGAGCTGTCACACGGAGGGCTGGGTGAGCTGTCACACGGACGGGCTGAGTGAGCTGTCACACGGAGGGCTGGGTGAGCTGTCACACGGAGGGCTGGGTGAGCTGTCACACGGAGGGCTGGGAGAGCTGTTACGGGAAGGGCTGGTTGGGCTGTCAAACGGAGGGCTGGGTGAGCTGTCACACGGAGGGCTAGGTGAGCTGTCACACGACACGCTGGGTGAGCTGTCCACACGGAGGGTTGGTTGGTCTGTCACACGGCTGGCTGGGTGAGCTGTCACACGACACGCTGGTTGGGCTGTCACACGGAGGGCTAGGTGAGCTGTCACACGACACGCTGGGTGAGCTGTCACACGGAGGGTTGGTTGGTCTGTCACACGGAGGGCTAGGTGAGCTGTCACACGGAGGGCTGGGAGAGCTGTTACGGGAAGGGCTGGTTGGGCTGTCACACGGAGGGCTGGGTGAGCTGTCACACGGAGGGCTAGGTGAGCTGTCACACGACACGCTGGGTGAGCTGTCACACGGAGGGTTGGTTGGTCTGTCACACGGCTGGCTGGGTGAGCTGTCACACGACACGCTGGTTGGGCTGTCACACGGAGGGCTAGGTGAGCTGTCACACGACACGCTGGGTGAGCTGTCACACGGAGGGTTGGTTGGTCTGTCACACGGCTGGCTGGGTGAGCTGTCACACGACACGCTGGGTGGGCTGTCACACGGAGGGCTAGGTGAGCCGTTACACGTAGGGCTAGGTGAGCTGTCACACAGAGGGCCAGGTGAGCTGGCACATGGTGGGCACCGTGCGCTCCATGCAGGCATGCACTAGATGCCCTACAATCTTTCGTTACCTGTGCTGGTGGAGAGTAAAACGTAGGCCTGCCTCATACCCAGGTGTGAGTGGCCTAGGGCACCAGCACCGGAGGTCAGGACTCTGATAACGCACATGACGTGACGCCGGCTGGCATGAGAGCAGGGCGCGCCGCACACGGGATCGATGGTGACCTTGCGCGTCTGTTCCAGACCAATGTGGAGCGACTGTACATAGCGGTGGGCGGCGCCGCGCCGGCGGCAGCGAGCTTACGGCGCTCCCTGGACGCGGAGTCGGCGGCACAGGTTCGACCGCCGGCCGCGGTCAGCGCCACCGGCGCTCGGCGCGGACTAAACTCCGCTCAGGAATGCATGTCGCTGCGGGCGAGCGCCCGGCCCGCCACGCTCGGGGGTGTTGCGTGTTGGACCAGAGGCGCGGAGACTGATGGCCGCGAGCGGCCCGGTTGAGGCCGCCGCTCATCCCACCTGCCATCTGCCGTCGCGCGGGAGAACTGTGGACGGCGGGGCGGTGATGCCGCGTCCCTGTTGCCGACCGTGTTGTTCTTCTCGGAGCTTCTGCCCGCTGCTCATTCTTCGACGGACTGCAGTGGCCGCCGGGCCATCAGGACGCCGATGTCAAGGACCTCACATTCCATCTTCAGTCAACCGACGCTGGTGTTTGTCGTGCTCTGTGACGTTTTCACAACGGCCTTCTATTTAATTCAGTTGCCTATACGCCAAGCTGGGGGGTTTGTTTGCGGACAGTTTCCTTCCATTCTGTGTACTGTGCGACAGGGACGAGGGAGTTGAGATGCTATGTCTTTGTGAACATCTTCAGCATTCCAGGCCTTGATTAAGGGTGTATCTGTCACGTGGTGCCTTGCCTCTTCTGATAGTTCCCGTTGGCATTCGGATGCATTTTAATACGATCGTTCTCGGGCGCCTGATTTCGCGGGCGTGTGATATTGGCTGGGTTGTGGAGCAGCGTATTTGCCTGCCGGGACCATCCAGTGCACTGCGCATCTCGGCACGCCAACGCGGGGCGGTGCTGCACGTGCTCCACTACACAGGCGCCCTTAGTTTACTTGCTCGGCGTCTTGCGAACCCAATGAAACCTAGAAAAATCGCCTGTGATCGAACTCCACACCATTTACAGGGTTGTTCCCAGCGTCGAGTCATGGACGAAAACGACCAAATGATATCTAGATGATAGGTAGACGTTGCATTGTTACAGAGTCTAATGTGAACGGCAGGGATGACCCCATCAATAGTCCCTCGACCTGTCGCTGCGCTCATCCCGGACGCGTTCGAATGGACAGGACAAGCGGTGGCGCCGCTACCAGATAGTCTGCATCTGCTGCGCCGGCTCCCCCGGCGCGGGCCCCCTCCCGACTCTGGACCTCTCACACAGCAGACGCTATTTTTGTACATATGTGTTGTGGTAGTGCGAGGCTGCCTGCCTGGCCACTAGTGTATTGTACATATCGCCGTCTGCGCCGCGGGCGCGCTGGCGACGCGCTTCTGGCGACACCTATCGTCTGAATCACGAACCCACTCGTGGCCGCGGACGTCGCAGGCCAGGCCGGCTGGTGACCTGAACTGCTCTGTGGTCGCCGCGTTCGGGGATCTTGGCTACTATGGTCGCCGTGTTAGGTGGCCTGGCTACTCTGGTCGCCGCGTCCGGGACATGGGCGACTATGGTCGCCGCGGTCGGTGAAGTGGGCTTCTCTGGTCGCCGTGTCAGGGGACCTTGGCGACTCTGGTCCCCACGCCGGGCGACGTCGCAGGCCCGCTTCGGGTGCGTCTGGAGCGAGAGAGCGCCAACGGCGCGCCTCTTCGGGTGCGTCTGGAGCGAGAGAGCGCCAACGGCGCGCCTCTGGGGCTGAGTACCGCGGATGGCATGGCAGGCCGCGGTTGGACAATACAAAAGGACGAAAAGGACATCCGCTGTTTGCATGTCACTGGGTAAGAGGTAGAGGTTGCACAGCTGAGATGAGCATCCTCATCAATATACATAACGCATACGGAACTAAGAACTTAAATATGGCGAGCCAACGCCTGTTGACGTGTGATGTACACAATTATTTTTCTGATAATCACGACTTGCACAGGCCTCAATATACATAAATGGACGCTGCGGCATTAGCTTGAGACCAGCCCGTGCGAAAACCCGCACGAGCTATGGTTTAGCACACAGCATTGATAAATTGGACCCGGGTCCTTCGTAATGCTCCGCTGTCTGCGCCAAGTGAAGCATCAGCCCGGCTCGCGCTCTGCACCTGACCTACACACAACGGACCAGAGCGCCCGACGCCAGGATCAGCCCGGCTCGCGCTCTGCTCCTGACCTGCAATGGACCAGAGCACCCGACGCCAGGATTAGCATTGGCGAATGTGAGGCGCTGAGGCGCTGGCCAGTGAAGCGCTGAGGTGCTGGCCGTTTCCAGCACAAAAAACCTGGTGTTAGCAAAATATGAACATGTCATGAAGACTGATCAGTGAATGAATACCCACTGAAATTACATGATGTGTGCACTGCTTAATGGATAGGTACAAGCATCAATATTCAATAGAAAAAAACCAAAGGAATCACAGTAAAATACAAATAGTGTCACCAGATAATGAGCCTACAAATCAGCATATTTCCCCAGAAGGGCCCACATATTGGTACTCATTTGCTGATACCACCTCTTTGCTTGTTTAATGTTGTCTCACAAGGGGTTATAAATGTTGCTTGAAATAAATGCCACCTGAACAATAAGGCTCAATGAAACATGGATATCTATCATACGCGGCCTGATCCCTTGCATTCCCTTCGCAAGTAAATAGGGGCCATCCAAACATTATGAATGTCATACTACACATATTTCTCAGCATTAACCACGTTTGACTAAAAATGCAACGGTTGCTCATATAAATAAGCTGCAAACATGGTGCAAAAATGGTCAAGAACAATCCTTTAAAACACCCAGCCAGGAGCATCACATTGGGGGAGAGGCCCATCACTGATAATAAATGATCTCATGATCTCAGGATGTCCATAGCTGTGGTACCAGTGTACAACTGAAATAAACAATGAAGTGAACACAAACCACTAAAATAGTAACTCCATATACTAAAACAAACCTATGAGGTGTGTCCAGGAATCTGTTCTGTTAACAACAAGCATGACAATTTTTACTGATGCAAACTGTATTGATAGTGCAGAATGTCATGTGCATGAACTGCATTGAACAGCTATTCATGTATGACACAGCTTTCTAGATCTTAATGTATAAGACATATGTCCATACAAATATGCTGATAAAACCCAGCATCACATTACAAATGCTGTAAGGCACTGTGTCAATTTAGTCAATTCACGGCCAATGGAGACCGATTCCCGTAGCCGAGTTGGTAAAGCACCGAATAATCTGGCCGGTACGTGGCTGGGACGTAAATACCACTCCACTCTGAATGATTCGTGCACACTCTGATGATTCAATGAATGCACACTCTGAATGATTCATTAATGATAATGAGCATTCACAATCACCCGAAAATGCTTGAAAATAGTACCAGTAAGTGTTGGGTGAGATTGGTGCGAGGCTGCAAGTGCCTCTGTGAACGTGGGTGTGACATCTCAAGAATTCATCAGGAAAGAGCTTATTTAGATAAAAAGTTAAGAAACTTTCCATGAATTTGTTCCAAATGGTTTGCATGGGTGACTTTGGCTTCATAGTACCTGCTAAGCAGCTTGTGAGTATCATGAACCCACCACCCAAGTTATGTCCAGTTCAACAGATAACTTTGCCTACAACCTTTCACCAGACAGGAATGTAATGGCTTGAGGGTGTACCCGATTTACATGCTGTGCAATGCTGCAACACTGCTGCCAGCCCCAGCCTAGGCATTGGCCGGTTGCAAGCTGACCTTTCTATTTCAGTGGGGTTATACAATGCAAGTACTCTGGGACTCATATGCAGTGCCACTGGATTACAAGTCCAGCATCTTTCCCCTGGACCATGGAAGCAACAAACTTGTTAAAAGATAAGTTGTCTGGCCCAACAATATAGGAAGGAGGTGAAAAACTTATTGTAGGGTAATTTATCAGGTTGAGAGGTCCACAATATAGCAAGATGTTTGTTACAACCACAAAGTAAGAAACATTGTCCTTTGAAGTGTTACATAGGTACCTTCCAGAAATGACAAGCAATGCTTTGCAGTTCATTAAAAATGTATATGCATGTCATACATGCCAATACAATGCCTACCACAACACCTCATTTTAAGTCTCCTGTGGTAAGTAATTATATGTAAGCAGGAGCCTTATCTACCTACAACAAACAGCTGATTGAGCATGCTTAAAGGTGTGAGCATTATGACTGAATGTCATGTGCATTAAAGTCCATAAAATGACAGCTTATTGCAGTTATATACCATGCTTGAGAAGAGCTCCAGTTTTTATAACATGTCTTGTTTATGGCACACAGCACCACCACACATTACTCAATCCCCAAAAGTGGCCACCGCTGCACCATGACACCCAATATAATATAACTGGCTATCTCGTTATTTGGAATAGGATCTCTTTAGTCAGTCATGGTCACTTCAGGGCCATGGGACAAATGGGAGGCGTCGTTCAACGGCTCACAAATCCTCACGCAGAGCACCCGTAAAAGGAACCTCTGATATAACACACAACATAGATGCCGAACCGGTGCAAGGCGGCCAGTGTATCTATTGCGCCACGAACCACTTGTAGGTTGTATATTTTTATTACTTTTCAGAGAATTCCTTCTCACCTTTTACATGGTGTACAGCAACACAGCTGTTATTTAGCTCGCTTATGATCACATTATGGAAGTAAAGATATAATTAAGTGAATATGAAATTATTCTTGCATGTCTATGGGATAAATGTTTCGAAAGCTCGACCACATGGAGAAAGGAAACCAACCAGGCAACCAACCATATACCTTTCGGAGTTACATATGGCTGCATTTAGCATGCTGATGACAGCACAGATTCCCCAAAAACTACACGTCGAACGGTATCTGCCAACTATAGCAGACCAATTTAATCAATATCGTCAGATAATTTATAATTTTTTACAACTAAAAACTCATTATACTGGACTGTTTTGGCTTAAACATCATGATCTAAATGTGTATGAACCTGTATATCGCCATGATAATTCGTTATTGATTGGTGCTTTATCAAAGCATTCCAGTTGTGCTTTCTGCTTAGGCGTGTTAGCGTCGCTGTTTCAGGTATGGGGTGCCGGGGCGGTAATGGTGGTCGGACGCGTATGAAAATGGGGTGTTGATTTGTTGCGATGCATGTTATGATTTCAAAAGTTTTATTCCTGCTTTCCCGGCCGCATCCGTGGCCTTGGCAATCATAGGTGGGCAAATGTGAGCTGGGCTCATTGTTCCCTAAGGCCTATGTTCTCACCTTTTTCACTCTTCTCCTCGGAATTTTGATTGCCTGCCTCGATAGCAGATACATTAAGTAAGACACATGTGCGACATTATCAAAATAGATGCATTGTGTTTCTCATTTTTGGTCATTATGGCGACCCCTTCACTCCCACAGCCCCAACCAACTTTACTGATTACGTACTGGGTACGCTGGGCGAACGCGCAACCCCCCCCCCCCCCCCCCTCATTACGCTATGCTAAATATAATGTCCCTGGGAGTTAACGTCCATTGCAACCAATTTTGAGCTAGAGTTACAAAAGAAAGGCCGGCGTGTTGCTTGTTATGAGGGGAAACCGACAGCATCTGGCTTAAAGGCTCTAATGCATTGAAAAAGACCTTAGCGTAGTTTGCAGCCTTACATGCGCATAAGTCAAGCTCCCCACCCCTCTCCCTTTTTCGCTTCTGTTACGCTCCGTCGAGACTTCCAGGTCCTCACCCCTCCCATGCATAACATAATATATGGGCGCCCCCACATCTACCAGAGATAATTTGACATGTCTCAGTGAGCTAGATTCGCATATACCATTTGATATTGACAGAATAAGAATACCAGGATGTAAAGACGTTCATGATTTTGTGTTCGATTGAAAATTGCACTGCAGATGATTTTCGTGATTAACGTTGAGCTCAGCACGTACAATGGACATATTTGGCGGGAGGGCTTCATCTTGCAGTATAATGCCAGCACGGCTAGCATTAGGCCTGACTCTTGGTTTGTTGCCATATGACCGTAATGGACAAGGCACGAACGGGTGTCTGGGAGTGGTATTTACGTCCCAGCCACGTACCGGCCAGATTATTCGGTGCTTTACCAACTCGGCTACGGGAATCGGTCTCCATTGGCCGTGAATTGACTAAATAAGAAGTTACTGGCTTTGGTTATGTCCCGTAGGCGTGAACAAAGCCTTATCAATGTATCGTGTGAATGTGGTGGGAAGACGATATCACTCAAAGCATACTGGCTCGTAATATTTTCACTGATCTGTTGCGCCACGATCCAGTCTACGATGCATGTACCTGTCAGATGTGGGGAATTAGCCCACTTTTTTCTTCCGGTTAAGTTAATCCGCTGACAGAAGGTGAACTTAGATTGAGCTAACCAGATTACTTCGCGAAGTTAGTTAGCGGAAGCTTAAGTTAATCCGTTGATTTATTATCGTAAAATTGCTTTCCATCACCTGATGTATGTATTTTAGAATAGGCCCCTCCAACAGGTGGAAATGGTTGAGCTACATCGCTGCCACTCATCGACGTATTCCAATTCCTGTACTAAGCTAACTGTGTGTGCATTTCGCAAGTTTCAGGTTCGAAATCCGAAAAGGCTTCAGTAAAATCGAATATATTCGAATATTTCTACCGGAGCCTCGAGACTTTAGTGTCGTAAAATTGCTTCTATACCAATTGCATCGTTTTCCGGGTAACTGCACAACGCTTTTGCTAATGGTATATGCCACATTTTTAGCTCGCCCAAAATAATATTAG